GTTCATATCACATTTTAAATACCATATCTCATTAACAACATATTTCCTCATCCATCACATCTTTAAATAAATATCACACATAACAGTAAAACAATAATCTCACCTTTAAACAAGACCTAACGTGAAAGATCAACATAACTTATGAATAAGACCGAACGAGAGAGTACTCATAATATGAGAACATGACCGAGCGGTCATTTAGAGAATAAGACTGGAGTCGAACACTTGAACTTATATCATGCACTTATGATTTAGAACGAACAATATTTGGTTAGACCGAACACTATTAACTTAGTACAAGTACGATATTGAGCATTGGTATGAGAACGAGCGCTCATAAGAGACCACACAACTCAATAATACCGATCGCTAACACTATCATAAATATTAGTACAAAACCGAGCAATATATCGAACGAGCGCTGGTCCAAGACCAAGCACTACCAAGACAGTACATGACCGAGCGCTATCATTAGCATAACGGCTAGTACAAGACCGAGCACTATCACTAGCATAACGGCTAGTACAAGACCAAATGCTATATTAAATAAGAAAAAAAATCAACACTAGACCGAGCGGTCATAACTGAGAATACACAATAGCAAAACTCAGTTAAGACCTAACACCGGAGAGAAACCAAACGGTCAATTAAAGACCTTCAACAAACTACCTAATTCTGTAGAATATCTACAGAATTATAATCAACACCCAACCCTTACCAATTTCACTCGGCCACTGAACCATAATCATACAGAAACTCCAAACCTCATGAACATAGCATATAACAGTCCACACCCAAAATCACCGAACATCAAACAATTCAATTTCACATACATGCAACAACATCAACAACAGTTTCATACATCAAAACTAAGTAATTAAATTAGCTAACTTCCCTTACCTCTTGACCGTACCGAACAACGATTATTCTTTTCCAGACTTTGCTTCCTCTCTAGAAAATCCCAAGAACACCTATATTTCACCAATTGGTGAGGAAATACCAACCTAAATTACCAGAAAAATGATCAGAACTAAGAAGAAGAAAAGAAGAAGCTGATGAACACATGCAACCAGAAACTTGGCTTGCATGTGCCCGAAAAATAGAATTTTTAAGAAGAAGATGAACTTACCAACTCGAAGCTTGATTTTAATCAGTGAAAGACAATGATCTTGACTCCTAGATTGCTTAAACAATGGCTGGTTGAAGAAAAGAATGAAAGGAGATGAAGAATTTCTAGAGAGAAGGAGTAGAAAAGGTAGAGGTTTGAGTTTTTGGAGAGATGTAGATTTATGAAAAAATGAGATGAGCTGTGGTTTGGAAAATTCTATAAAATGTTAAATCTCTTTTGGTTGAGACATTTGTCCCTCCTTTTTAGATGTCATTTTCAGAGTTTTACACATTAACTATTAAATAAAAACTTCATACAACATTATATTAATCAAATATAAAATAAAATTATCAAATTTATATATATATATATATATATATATATATATATATTATTTTTGTACAAAATTATATTTTTAGATTTTTAGATTTTTAGATTTTATTTTCTGTGTCTTTTTATCATACTAATAATTACAATAATATCTCTTAACATTGTAAAATGTGTTAATTTAATTTTTATTTTTATTTAATATTTTATATGATTTTTAATCTCGTAAAATTTTAAATTACTGATATTAGTTCTACTCCTAAAACTTTTGTTTTAATTTTAAAATTTGGAAAAAGACGGATTAATTTTTAAAAAATAATACTAAATTAAAAAAAAATAATGAATATAAAAGTTAAATTAAATATAAAAACTGACATGTGTGAATTATTACTGTCACGTAGCATTTAGCACGATGCCGAATTGACAAAATATCCTACCACTAACAAAGATATTTTATTTTATTCTCCTTAATTCAATTTCATCTATCATAATTGATATTTAATTAATGAGATATGAGTTTCAATAGAGTCGATTAAGTTGAGTATTTTTAATTGAGTTTTCTTTAGATTTTTTTTTCTATTTATTGATTAATCAATTTTTTTACATTTTTTAATTAAACCCAGCCATAACTCCGTATCTACTCATAACCCAAGCTTCTGCAACCTAAACAAACACATAAAAAAACCCTTTCTAAGCTACGCCAAACCTTTAAGAGCTGTTTTTCTTTAACCTTCTTGAGTTTGTGGAATTTGAGTAGAGAGATCCACCCTCATCTAAACCCTCCTCTGGGGTTAACATCACTATGTAATGTATCCTTTTGTTTGAAAATGACGACAAAAGTGGAGCTTCAACCATGTGTCTGCGGAGCAGCAATGCAAAAATCTACTCATGAAGGTGCATCAACAACTTTCCGGAAGCAGGCTGAACCGCAATCTCTGAGGAAAGTTTTACTTTCATTTCTGAAAGAAAATCTATTCTCCTTAATTCACAAATTAACTTTTCAAGTAATGTTAACGTATTCTTAATACTACACACTACCTAAGAGATACCAAACATGGATGCAATACAACATATGAAATGTGATTGATACTGATCATATGAAATGTTATTGACTCACAAATATCCCAAATTAAATGAAAATACCCCTTACGTCCTCCCAAATGCCCTAGCCTTCTCAGGTTTTCTGATTTTTGCCAAAGGTACCCAAATGGCTTTGCAGCAAGTTTTTATCAAATCGCTAATAAAAAACTGCAGTAATATTTTCATTAGATTAGAAACAACAGAACATGAGTAAGCTATCGGTGCATCTTAGAACATCATCCATTTCTTTATCACCGTTTCGTACCACTCCCACGAAATAAACACAAAAGGTTAAGAGAAAACACAAACATTAAGCTAATAAAGAGCCAAAAAAAAAATCCAATGATGATTGAATAACCAAGACTACAAAGAATAGGGAGAAAGCTCAAACTCACAATTATTGCTCTTCTAAAAAGCACTGAAACCAACATAAGCTCGTCTTCCTGGAAGCATCGCCAACCAATTGCATAACAATAATCAGTTTTGGGACAGAATTTCTGGATAACATCATATGTCCAAATAGAGTTCTGGATAATCATTCTGATACAGTTCCAAATACACAACAAACACGCCGAGTTTCATTTTAGACACATTTCATTACAATTTAGATACACTCCAGCTAATCCATGACAATTTATACATCCACTATGATAAATTCAAAACAAGGGTGCTTCATGAAGCTGCCCCTAGCTGGAATTGTCACAAAGTTTTAAATAGGCAGATGATTACAGGTTCGGTGCTCTCAGTATTTTCACAAATTCATAAAAACAAGACATTAGCAATCATTGAACAACACTTACATTTTATGAAGAATCCACATGAAGCTCCGGATATAACATGTCAAAATTTCGAGACCAGTTGTGCTTTCAATTGGTTTACATTATTGCAGCACAAAAACCGTTGTCAATAAGTAAAACTATCAAAATGGAACCCTGTAATTCATGTTGTGAAGAGCTTACTCAGTGGAATAAAACTATGTTGTGGTTGTTGTAATTATACAATTGCCATTTTATAATTATTTTGATTATGTTTAGCCCGAGGAAAACAAAAAAAACAAAATTAAGTTTACTGAAACTACCTACTTTTAAGGATATACAAGCACAATCGAGCATAAAATAATTTTGTTCTTTTATCTTCTTTTTTACCCATTTAGCATATATTACACAAGAACTCAAGACAACATATAAAGGTTGCATTCGGGTAAATAATTTAGTTAACCACTTAATTAATAAGAATACAATACACGAAAGTGTGTAGCTAAATTAATTTAATAAACTTGCGGTGAAGCTTATTCAAATAAACTAACAGAGCTTATAAGGTCATAAGTAATGTCCATGGAAAAGAGGGGAGAGCTTTTGGCGGAGGGAAGACAATTAACTAGAACACAAACAGTGAATGACCATTAAAGTGGTTTACTCAGTAGAGTTAGTGCATGGCTTAGAGAGTAGAGAATGTGTATGTGAAGGTTAAGAATGGGTTGAGTAAAGAGTGGGACGTTGAATGAAAATGGAATGAAATATAATGCATCGAAACCTTCACGTCAATAATACACACTTCAAATAAACTAACAGAGCATAATATAGCAAACTATGTTCACAAGTTTCACTATCCAACACTACTTCAGTATGAGAGATAATTATTTACAACTATATAGCCTGGGAGATCTCCTAACTTGAGAAAAAACATTGGCTTTTGGAGCTTTCCCGTCTTCTTTGGGCATTGATTGACTATTTCTGGAAATGCTTCTCGTTACCATCCTACTTGCATCCAACCCTATCTTTTCTCTAACAGCTTTCTTTTTCTTGGCCGAAATTTGAGTTTTAACGATGTTTTTTCCAGAAGGGCCTGTGGAATCATACATACCGATCGAAGATTTACCATCGGCTTGGGTTTCAACATTGGCTTGGCTTTGAATATTGGCTAGGCTTTCAACATTGGCTAGGCTTTCAACTGGGATTCCTTTTTCACTATTGTTACATTCGCATTCTATGTTATCAATTGAAGAATACGCGCTCCAATTGTATGGAAATCCAACCAGGAAGTGTTGACAAACCTGGCAAAAAAGAGATTGAATTTAAATTTTATACCCATCAATAGGATCATTAGGGTATTCAATTTAAATTCATTTTGATGTTAGGTTGTTGAATACCTCTAAGGGGACGCCACTCTGAGATGAACGAGAGGTGTCGACGAAACCACGGAAAATAATAGTGGTGTCATCTTGAGTACGTACGACATTGGCTTCTTCTCTCTCCGCAATGACGGTGGACGTAAACACTCTTTCTCTGTCTCTCCTGCGCGTACGAATTGCAATTACTCCATTTCCAGCAATGAAAAAATTGAATTAGAAAAGAAAAAAGAAAAAAAAAAAAAAACTCACCCGACGGAAGCAACCCCTCCAACGGCTAAACCGTTGCGTTGCTTCACAAGCCACCATTGGTTCAAGAAGACCTACAGAAAGAACAATGATTTGCCATTAGCATTGTGGGGGAAGAAGGAAGACGGAGAAAGGAATTAGCCTTAATTAATACAATAGATTTAGGCGGCACAGGGATGGTTTTGAAACCACCGCCGCCGCCGCCGACGACGACCACCATTCTCCTTCTAAACTCAACCGAACTCTTCTGCCCAAAACTAACCTAAACATTCATTGCCACCGGGAATGTAACGGGTGCTGTTAGCCAGAGGACCTTGATTTTTTTTATATAAAAATAAGAACATAATATTATTATAATATATTCAACCTATGATTTAAAATACCGTTTTAGATTATATAATTTACAATAATATTTTGAATTATATAATATCATGAGCTCTAAAGATAATTTAAATTCAAAATAAAGTTATGTAATTTTGAATTATATAATTTAGGACGTCATTCTAAATTATATAGTCTAATATATGTTTTTTAATGATGTGATTCAAATAAATGTTAGATGGCTTTTAATTATATTAAAAAGGGTTAAGAATCTCTTGACCCAATCATGTATTATGTTTGTATAAACAATCAAACAATAAGTATACAAAACTAATCATTATGACTAAACAATAATAATTTAGATTAAATAATTTATAATAGAATTTGGAATTATATCAAACTATGAGATTTAAAGATAATCTAATGTAATATTTAAATTCAAAATAAAGTTATACAATTCTAAATTATCCAAGGTTATACTTTTAAATTATATAAGCATATAAAACTATTTACTATGTCTAAACAATAATTAAACAATCAACATTAACAATAAAGTAGACTCTTCTTCAAAGGCTCTTAGATACAAAGAAGCATTAAAAATAGTACATATAAATAATTATTCTTTATGTTTTTGTCCCTTTATTGTTATATTAATTGTGATTCTCCCTTAATATTGACTTAACCTTTGAAAATACAACACTTCTCCTAAAGTGAGCGTAATATTAATCAAAAAATATTGTGGCTTTTGCAAGTATCCTTAAACAAATAAAAATAATAGTATGATTTTGCTTAAGCATCTCATTCTTATATCATTAATGAATACTGTAAATGTTGATTATTTTCTTTTTTATTTTATTTTTAATCTATTAGATATATTAAATATTATGATTCAACCAAATTCATTAAGTCTCTCTGTTCTGAATAACTTAAATTTATACCTATTAGAATAGTATTCATATATTATAATCATATAGGTATTATAATTTTTATTTATAATGAGGTATAATTATGTTGTTATTAATTACATTGTTATTATATATTTTCTATTTATAATTCTGTTTTTACTTTTTTTTTATAAATTGTAAATTAGTATTACATAACCAAGTCTATTTATAATTTCTTTTTTCATATTCATTTATCATTATTTTTTTCATTTCTTTATATAATCGTTTTTTACTTTTATTTTATCATAGAGCAAGAAATAAGGATAATTGAGAGAAAGAGATAAACAAAAAAGTAAAACATTTTTACTATAAGGGAAGGGGGTAGGAGGAGTATCTTCCTAAGAGACACTAAATTCACACTAATTTAAATCCCCTAAATATCCGATAAATAAACTTGCACGTTAAAATAAGAACTTTCAATTTTTTTTACCGAAACTATAAAACCTCAATTATTTCCTTTTCTTTCTATTTATTTATGTATTGTCATAAGTTAATATCGTTTATATTTTTTATTCAAGGAATCAACACAAATAAAATATTATCTCTTATTAAAATTTAATAAAATAAATAACAGGAAAAATAGACAAAAAGATTGAAAAAAATGTCTTGTGTGAATCATGATGATTATTACACGAGAGTTATTTGTTAATAACATTATTGGTTAACTAAACCTGATTAGGGACTAATAATAATTTTTAAGATATGTTTAGTTTTATCCATATCATTGCATAACTATTTTGATAGAACACATAAAAATAGTGACGTTAAGTAAAATCGTGATACATATTACAAGGAAAAATAGTTACATCTTAATTATCATTTATATTTTATTTTTGTAAATATCGATCAAAACAATTAATANATGTATGTATGTGTGTAAAAATTAAAAATTATTTTTTCATAAATTTGGATCCAACGCTTGCATGTAGGACAGCATCCTTTTGTATTGTTATCCCTTCCTTTCCTCCACAACAATTTTCTATTGATAAAATCACAACAGTAGTATATATGAACAATTGTTCATAATTAATAAACTTTTCAATATTTGATTCCTGAACTAATCTTCTAAAGACACATGTTACCAATTTTATTATATTTAATTTTACACAATTTAATAAAGTACGTGAGGAATAGCGTCATCTTGTTCCCATCAGATTCTGTTCACACACACATAATATTAAGCAGGAGTGCTCATGATCAGAAAGTGACCATATAACATAACTTTAATTAATTACACCATTCAGCTCATGTATTCTCATTCACGACAGCATCACTCACTAAATTAAGAGTAATATAATACATCATCGTTATATATGCTAACCAGCATGATATGAAAATGCAATCTGTGACTACGTAATTAACTATGCATTTAACATTTTCTGAACTTAGTTTTATGTAGCACTTGTGCAGTACTAGCATTATCTCTATATATATTAATGATAATTGCATTAAATTATCACTACCATTTATAACTAAAAGCAGTATGTTGAAATGGACAGCATGCTGTTGCAACGTTAATTTAATGGTGTGAAATATCTATATATTGCAGTTATATCTCTCACCATGTGTGAAGCATGGACAAAAGCTATCTTCATCAAGAGACTCTACTGCACATTGATGACTTTGAGCTACACGACTTTGATGAAGATCCTAACTTAGATCATTTGATCAATTTCATTCGTTTGGAGAAGAAAGATGCTACTTGTGACTTCAATTCTGAGCTTATCAACGAAGCATTCATTGATAACTCTTTCTTGCCACACCCTGCAATCCCATATGATCAGTGCAATAGTAATGCTATGAATGTCTATGATTCAAATTCTGCACCTAACTCCTCTTGTTTTGATGGGGAAGCCAAAGGAGGAGGAGAAGAGGAAGATGATATGGAGCACTCATATGCAACAACAAGCACAACAACAACAACACCTACTAAGTCAAAACCAAAAACTGACAGATCCAAAACTCTGATTTCTGAGAGGAGGAGAAGAGACAGAATGAAGGAAAAGCTTTATGCATTGAGATCTTTGGTTCCCTTCATAACTAAGGTAGGTGTCTCTACTACTACATTAAAACTTCACACTTCAGAAAATTTCACATAAGACAAACCTGATTGTGACATGTTCAACGTTTTTGAAACTCAAGTTTACTGATGTACAAACATGTATGATTGATTGTGTGGGAAGATGGATAAGGCCTCTATAATTGGAGATGCTGTCTCATATATGCACGAGCTTCAAGCACAAGCCAACATGCTTAAGGCTGAGGTTGAAGCACTTGAAACTTCCTTACTGCTGTCTAAAAACTATCAAGGATCAGTTGAAAATCCCATGAAGGATGAATTTACCAATAACATCCTTTCAATACGCAAGAAGATAATCCAGGTTTCTGGAAAAAGTCTTTCTAACTCCGTAGATAGTTTTTACTTGATCCCTGCACTTTATTGTAATATCTTCAATGTTTCTCTGTGTAGATGGACATGTTTCAAGTGGATGCAAAAGGGTTTTATGTGAAAATAGTTTGCAACAAAGGAGAAGGGGTGGCTGCCTCATTGTACAAAGCTCTAGAGTCTCTGACAGGCTTTCATGTTCAGAATTCAAACTTATCCACAGTTGGTAACAGTTTTCAACTTACATTTTCATTGAATGTAAGTTGGAAGAGAAAAGAATTTCAATTTTACTTCCAAATTTAGGATATAGTTGTAACTTTTGTTTACTGATTTTATCATATTGATGTGTTGAAAACAGGTGAAAATCTCTGAGCCAGAAATTAACCTGCACAGCATGAGGATTTGGGTGTGTGAAGCTTTTGTGAAGCAAGGCTTTGAATTCATACCATTTTTAATGCTTGACTCTTTCAATCTATAAACTTTAAGCTGTAATCAACTAAGGTTGCAGAGACATAGAGCTATTATGACTAGTCATGAAAATCTATAATCTATAGTCAATGTGATAATATATCTAAGTGCTGGTTAGTGGTTAACTTTTTTTGATACATGGGTGATGGCTAACTATGAGCATTGATATGTAACTAATAATTAATTATTTTGAGATAAGAGCCCTATCAATTTTTAAGAACGAATATCAGTAGTATCTGTGTGTACGCTTCTGTTTATAAGTTCTTAAAACTGTAATATTAATAATGCTGCACCAGCACGTTGCAAACTTGAATTAAAATTGTTATCCCAAATGTATAAAAAAATTGCTATCGCACTTGATGTGACAATCTCTGTCACTACTGCCACATTCATCTAAAATTTCAAAGTTATACTATATTTGACTAACTTTCTATTAGTTTATTTTTAATAATATATATATATATATTTTAAA